CAGACTCATAAATATAGAGAACATTTTGACGGTTGCCAGATGGAAAGGGTTTTAGAAGAATAGGTGAAAAAGGTGAAGGGATTAAGAAGTACAAATAGGTAGTTACAGAATAGTCATAGTGATGTAAATTACACCATAGGAGTATAGTCAAAATGTAATAATTGTCCCAGCTGATTTGGCTCAGTGGATAGAGTATTAGCCTGTGGACTGAAAGGTCCCGGGTTCAACTCCAGTCAAGGGCACATGCCTGGGTTGTAGGCTTGATCCCCAGTAGGAGGTATGCAGGAGGCAGAAAATCAATGATTCTCCCTCATCACTGATGTATCTCCCTTTCCCTGTTCCTTCCTCTCTAAAATCCATAAAAATATGTTTTAAAAAATAATGTAATAACTATATATGGTGTCAGATGGGTACTAGATTTATTGGGATGGTCACTTAGTAAGTTATGTAATGTCTAATATCTGGATTGTACACCTGAAGTTAATATATAATACTAGAGGCCCGGTGCATGAAATTCGTGCATGGAGGGGTCCCTTCAGCCCAGCCTGCACCCTCTCCAAAACTGCCCCCACCCCCACTGGCCTGGTTGCCCCTTATTGCCCTCCCTGCCAGCCTGGTCATCCCACACAGCTTGCCGTTCAGTCATTTGGTCATCCATCACTGCTCTCCCACTGCTGGCCTGGTTGCCCCACGCAGCCTGCCTTTTGGTCATTTGATTGTCCCTCACAGCCCCCGCTGCCAGCCTGGTCACCCCATGCAGCCTGCTGTTCAGTCATTTGGTCATACCTCACTGTCCCGCCCTGCTGGCCTGCTCGCCCCACACAGCCTGCTATTCGGTTGTCCATCCGGTTGTTTTGGTTGTGGCAGCCCCTGGCTTTTTATATATTAGGATTATATGGTACTGTAATTAAAAAATTAAAAAGTGTTTAAAGTAAAAAAGAAAAGAAAGGACTCCTCAATGGCCAAAGCTGGAATCTGAGCGACAAAATAAATGTAGTATTAGATTACAACACAAATTAAACCTTCAAAATATCCAGACTTATATAAATAAATAAGGGAGTTAATGAATGGGGAATAGACAAATTTCCTATGCATTAGAATTCTAAATAATTTATTTAGATAATTTCCCCTGAAGGAGGTGAAACTCCCTTCCCTGGCCTTGCCTGTGGGATATGTTAGGTGACTTGCTTCCAAAGAACACAATATGGAAATGGAGCAGGAAGAATACAGGGTGGGGCAAAAGTAGTTTTACAATTGTGAATATGCAAAACACAGAGCTTATTTTGGTATTATTATTTATTAATTATTGTATTATTTTCTATATGAATAACTATAAACCTACTTTTGCTCTACCATGTATAATGGAGAAACCTGGTAAGCACTACTTTGACCAGGTGAGCAAGGTTAACAACATCAATGATAAGTCATATTCATGGCATATGCCTTTGATATAATGTGATGAAAATGTTATTTCACCTGTGTAGTCTTCCTCCTATAAACCCGTAACACTCAAACTATGAGGGAGAGGCATATGGGGTGAGATCTAGGAGGATCCAAGTTGGGAAGCTTTCATCGTCCCCATGGATGTGTCACCTTCCTGGCACATTAATGTGTGACCATATACAGAGTATTGGCAACCAGGGGAGCTCACCTGAGCCTTGGTGCCCAAAGTTTTTATTAACATTTATCACATAGCATGGGGAAGAAGAAATTTTCTCTACCCTTCCATGGTCTTCTGGCCGGTCTAATAATTAAATCTACATGAACTAGTTGAACAAGAGAAAATAACCAAATTTAATTACATATGTATGAGAACCCCACATACATCAGAGGCCCAGGGACAGAAAGTTAAAATGGGGTTTGTGGAATTTTGCGCTAAGGATGAGGTAAGGTATTTTGGGGCTTCATAGGTAAAGAAGGTCATTCACAGAACAAGAAGGGAAGATGTTCAATAATTAGATAAATCATAAAAAGTTATGTCTTATTATGGGCAAGGGCCCTTATTGAAATTTTTAAAGGGAGAGGTAAAAGTTTTTCATAAATCCTTTAACTCAAAGCACGTAATTTACATGCCAAAATGTCACATCTTGGGGAGACCTGTTTTGAACCCCTTCAATAGGCATGCTTGACTAAATAATTTTATGCAAAGTTGAACTCTATCTCCAGCTTCCCTCTCCTGTCTGGACTGATATCTTACAGCTCAAAACCCCAACCCTCTGATCCTCTAATAGTTGGTCTTTATGGCTTGGCCAGTCCCCATCTTGAATCATCTGGTTAGCATAAACTATCTAGGGGTCCACTATGAATGGCTTTATTAATATAACATATTAAGGCTCACCATAAATAACAAAGACATTCCTATTACTCAGGAAATATAAGGATTTAGTGGCTACCCTCCAGGAACTGGGTAAAAAGGCCAGCCAAACTCGTGATTGCACGGATTTGATGCCACATGCAGAAAGTGAATGAACAAATAAAGGTACAACATCAACTTAGAGTTGTGGAACCTCCACTCTTTTTCCTTATGATAGTTCCACTACTACACATGACATGCAACCTACACTCAAACCATATGATATTAGTAAAGTTTATTTTCCTTAACATTTTAAATACATATAAATTGAAGTTCTAGTATTTTATTTCTGTGCCCTAGAGGATCCTTTTTTATACCACCTGGGTCACTTGGGTGCTCCATTTTGGAGATTACTACTCTAGAGATTCCTTGGCTAAATAATTTAAAGAATGCTATGGACTGGCTGTTTGTGTCCCCTAAATTCATATGTTGAAATTTTAACCCCAATGTGATAGTATTAGTAGGGGGAGGGGCTTTGAGAGATGATTAAGTCATGAGGATGGAGCTTTCGTGAATGGGAGTTTTCATGAATGTCCTTATAAAAGACTCCATATGAGGAAGCAGCGAGAAGATGGCAATCTCTGATTTAGGAAGGGGTAAGAGTGTCACCAGATATTGTATCTTTTGACACCTTGATCTTGGACTTCCCAATCAATAGAAATGTGTAAAATAAATGTTTGTTGTTTAAGCCAACCTGTTATGGCAAACCAAATGACAAAGGGATTGGGGTAGATTGTATTATTGTTCTCCAGTGTTTCTTTCTTTCTGTGAGAAATTTTGCTGCCCTTGACATGACTTTCTGTAGGTAGAGTGTATTTCCCTGCCCCATTCCCAGGTTTGTTCATGTGACTTGCACAGGCCAATGGAGTCAGAGTGGAAATAATGTACACATTATCTGAGTAGAGGATTTGAATGTTACTATATGTTTTAGTTTACAAGAAGCTGCTCTATGATCCTAGGTTCCAGAATCAGAAAATACTTGGTGAAGTGCCAAGCAGAGTTACAGTACACCTGAAGCGGACTCTAAGCCCACATGTCATGTGAAGGAAAAATAAATGTTTGTTGTGAGACACTCAAATGTTGGGGTTGCTTGCGATATAATGTAATCCAGTTAGAATGTGACTTACTACATGGAAAGAGAGATGCCTTTAGGAACATGTATTGCTTTCTCCTTATAAGCTTAGATAACTAAGCCTCTGACAATCAATGATTACTATTGGGAGGAGGGTGTGTGCATGCACACCTGTTCACATGCAAGTGCTTGTTAGGTCCAGTAGAATTCGCTAGAAAAAATTTTAAGAATTAGCTCTTCCTTTCCCTTACTGCTGTGGGTTTCAGAGGCTGGCAGGATAAGGAGGCTGTCCACATGGTGGGGCAGCCCAATGTGAAGAGGCAGAGCCCAGGCAGGGAGAGGAGGACTTATACACATGAGGATGTTAGAGCCTAAGTGGGGTAAGGATGCACTCCAAGCGGAGGTTAGGGGCTATCATCAGAATCAGAGTCCAGAGACAGCAAGGAGTGCTTTCTTACTAGCGTGGGGTGTCAGAGCTGAGCAAGGTGAAACGATGTGTCTGGGGGTTGACTGGACTTGTGCAAGAATGCCCAAGAAGAATGAAGAGGCCATCGATAACAGTGGGGATCTGTATTGGGGGGTCAGAGCCTATTCAGGGAGACAAGACTTCTTAGGGAGGAAGTGGCAACAAGAATAGAAGATTGGTTATATCTAGAGGACTGATCAAATAAGGAAGAAGTTCAAGATAATGAACGCAGATTTCTTACTGTCACAGAAGGGAGTTGTAGAAAGGCAAAAAACTGGAATGAACTCTTTGGTGTTGGATTAAAATTAGAGATATTAGTGTGAACTCATATATTCAATATATTTAGATATAGAAATAAATATACAGGTGTGTGTGTGTGTGTGTGTGTGTGTGTGTGTTATAGGGGTGGGATGAGTTAGTAAGTGGGAGGGATTCAAAGGAGGATTATTTGGGGGAAGCTGAATTAGGTGTGAGCTGGGAGCCAGTCTGTGGAAAGATTTCACACAGAGGATTTAATTTTTGGAGAGTTTTTATCTTGGCCTTTGGAAAAAATCATATTTAGCACTAAGTTTATCTCCTTCTAAATTGTGATTTCATTAAATTATCCTAACTGTTAAAAAGTAGTTGTATATACCTGTATAGTCTTTTGTTGTGCTGTTGTGGGTATTAAAGTGATAGAGAAGGATGGACTAGAGAAGGGTGGCCTACTCCTTTAACATCCAAAAAAGAGAGCTGCTTTCAGAAGTTGCTGGATGTGACTGTGGCAAAATAAATGGAGATTCATGATGGAGTTAGTTAAGAACAGGGAAAAGCAGACAGCACTGAGGAGAAGATTCAGAAGGCATACCATCTACAGTTTCACTTCCCCAATACATTAGAAGATGCTGACTGTTGAAAGCGGGAAGTTGACGTAAATTTTTGTCAATGATCCTCTTAGAATGTGGCCCCTAAAAGTTGCCTAATAAGCCACAAAAGGTGAGGAAAATGCAGGCTAAGTGAGTATATGCCAAGATTTGTTGGTCTACAAATAATTATATTTGCATGTGGATGCGCACAAATACTTGAATTTTATTCTTGCTGGTGAGTTCAGAGTACACAGTTCTCATGAAAGATTTCTCTAATTGTTTTGTTCCTCTTTTCTTGTCCTTCCTATTTCTTTCTTCTACTTTTTGAGATTCTACTTTTATTACTTTGGCTAGCGTGTGTTTAAAGATTATAATTTCCACTGTGCTGGTCCTGGAGAATGAGCCTCTGCCTTGAGGTTTTAAGTTCTCATGAGATTCCTCTCAGGAAAATTTGCATATCTGTAGCTGCTGTTCTCATCTACTGGTAGTTACATGATAGGAAGTACGACAAGTTACCATCATGTTTAATTTTCATTTTAAGATGTTTTAAGGAAGAGAAACCAAGGATTTTTTGAAGAGAGCAGACAATCTCAATATGACTTCAGAGATCACTTATGCTGAAGTGAGCTTCAAAAATGAATCTACGTCTTTAGGCACCAAATCAGAGCCTCCTGCAGGTAAGAAACATTTTCTGGTGGTCGGAATTAATGATGAGATGAAGAATGAAGAGAGAATACTATAAACAAAGCATAGGTGATAATAGATGCTTGTTTCCTGATTGACCACAGTTTGGAAATATAGAATTCTCAGAAGATTATGTTGCCTGAAGATAAGTATTAAGGACTGCACATTTGTACTGTAACAAAACTGAGATGTGAGAAGTCCGCTATAGTCCTGAGCTCAGGAGAATGGTAATTATGAGAGAAAGCTGGCCTCCTGTAAGGCTCAGTAAGACTGCAGTCAGAAATGACAAAGCCTACTAAATTATCCATAGCCCTTGTAGAGTGATGAACATTGTTTCTTGACCAGTTAGAGGAGAGGAGTGTGGGGGAAGAGTGCTGTAGGTGCATTAACAAAACCTTGTTAATACTGGACTAAAGGGGAACAAAAGATCATTGCAGATAAAAGACTAGAAAGTTGTATAAAGAAAGTCCCTTATATCTCAAGGGAAATTGCTCTGTAATGAGAAAATCTATTGCATTCTGAATCTCTGAGATGGACTCAACTTAGTTTTGGAGTAGATAAAATGTAACTTGAGTAGCACCTGTGATATCTCAGATATAGAGCAAAAGAGAAGAAAAACATGTGTAGAGTCTAAGCAGCTGTGAGAGAGCAGTCATGATTGCTTATGTATTCTAAAACTCTTCTGTGGAGAGATGGAGAATACTCAGAAAACTGTTTTAACTCTTAAAATGCATGAAACTTCTTTATTATATGTTAAAATGTTCATTGTAGAAAAAAATTAGAGGTACATAAAAATTTAAATTTTGTTCTTACCACCTAGTAATAACTATAACTTACATTTTTAGTGTATATCCTCCCAGACATATATATATACACACATAAATGTATATATGCATTTTTTTCTAAAAATGAGATCACAATATACTTAGCAATATATAATTACTTGGGAAAAATAATTTTAACCATGCAATAGTGACTAAAATGGACTGACCTTATCCTATGAATGTGATAAGGGATGATTATAAAGATGTATCTGCTATGGCATTATTTAAAGTAGTTAAAATTGGAAACAAAATGAAACAGACTCATAGGTACAGAGAACAGACTGACAGTTGTCAGAGGGGAGGGGGCTTAAGAGCCTGGGTGAAATAAGTGATGAGATTAAGCAAAAACAAAACAAAACAAATAAACCTCATAGATATAAAAACAGTATGGTGGGGTGGAGGCAGGTATAAGAGGGTAAAGAGGTGATAAATGGTGATGAAAAGAGACTAGACTTTGGATGATAAACACACAATACAATACAAAGATGATATATTATAGAATTGTATGCTTGAAACCTATATAATTTTATTAACCACTATAACTTCAAAAAATTCAATAAAAATGGAAATAGTCTGGAAGATCACTTAAATATATAATGAAATACTATGCAACCACAATAGAGAGTGGAGTAGAAGAAAATATGGAATAAAAATGTTTATTAAATAGCATATAAGAAAATAATAGATCAGAAACTAGTATATATGGTGTGTCAATCACCTGGGAAAATGTGCATGTATATATAAACACTCTAAAAATTGCTGGAAGAATATATACCAAAACGTTAACATTAGTTGTCCTCAATAGTAGGGATTTGTGCTTTTAATGTATTTTCCAAAGTTTATGCAATGAACATATTTCCTTTCCATTTTTATATTATTTCCAATGTCATATTGTTAGTAATAGTATGCCACCCAAGAAAAGGGAGAAAAAGAGAAGGAGAAAGAGTAACTAATGATCAAAATTTACTATTTTATATATATGGAATCATTGATTGGCTGCCTCCTACATGCCCGCCACTGGGGATAGAGCCCATAACCTGGGCATATGCTCTGACCAGGAATTGAACCGGCGACCTCCTGGTTCCTGGGTCAACGCTCAACCGCTGAGCCACACCCGGCCGGGCAAAATTTACTATTGATAAAACTAATTTAATTTCTTCCTTAGCTCCCAAAGAGAAGACCAGCCTTCACAAAAGTAACCCTGGTTTTCCCAAGGCACTCTTACTCTCATTGCTGATACTTCTGCTATTATTGGCAATCTCATTTTTTATCGCTTTTATCAGTAAGTATCCCAATGAAACTATAATGAATGTCTGCCTTACACAAACAGAGGGTATCCATTAGATTTTTATATTTAATAAGGGGTTTATTCAAAAATCTGGTAAAATGTGTTCTCTGAGGGATGGTATAATTAGTGGGAATCCATTACAAATGCTGCTTTTAAATTTGAATTAAGTCACTTTTCTATAAAAATAATGGAATTCACTCTATAGACTCTATAGAAATTTAAGAGTATATGTGTGTCTGTGTGTTTGTGTTATAGAGTGAAATAGGGTACCATCTTCACACTAGACAGTTGTATGAGGACAGATTTAGATTTCCTTTGTGTTTCTAAGGCCAGGACTTTTTGAGTGCACACATACATATTTTGAGATGAGCGGGTGAACAAGGATATGAGAAGAAATATTCAGGAAGAGTTTCCCATTGAATTTTTACCTTAATTATTTCTGTCCTACCCAAGACGTGAGATCTAAAAGGCAACTTGGCAAACAGATAGATTTCTGCATATCTTAGGCTTTAAGAATTTATCAAATTGATAAGAGGAATAAAAACCAGTATATATCTGGGTAGATATTTTATTAATTCATCTGGTCATTCAATAAGCAATGATGGTCATCTGCTTTATGTCAGACAGTGTGCCAAAGTCCAAGCCATAGTCATTGAAGTTCAGAAAGTGATAGTAACTGGTCACATGAACCAGTGGTTACAACATTGTATGGTAGTGTTGTACAGATAAAAGCAATGGAGGCTGAGATAGACTTCCTGAAGGAGATGGCATAGAGATGTGAGAGAACATGGGAAAATGTGAGGAATCCTAAGAATAAATGATTGGAACATATGGTGCTAAGTGAACTGTGAGAAATGAAGTTGTAGGTAGAAGAAAGAAGTGGGGCTCAGTTCATGAAGGGTGTTGTGTACAATCCTAAAGAGGGTGAATTTTCCCCCTGAAGATGATTGTATCAATTATCTTTGGCTGCTTAATAAACCAATCTAAAACTTAGTGGATGAAAACAACAGCTACTTATTTAGCTCATGATTTTGTGATTTGGCAGTCTGGACTGGGCTCATTGGTCCTGGCTGAAAGTGGGGAGAGAACTAGGGTCAACTATTGCAAGAGGTCAAAGAGAAAGAAAACTAAGAAGGAACCCTGGGATATTACTGATAACCATTGCAAGGGTGGCAGCCATCTTGTAGCAGCCATCTTGTGATGACATGATGGTGTTGCACGAGGGCATGAGGACCACCTAAGCTTTTATTAGTATAGATTGAATATGGGTGATAGGAAATCTTTCCCATAGTCAGGATTTTTCTACTCAAGTAACTGGGCATTGGTAGATGTTGTTTCTATAAAGCATTCAAGAAAGTAATAATAATAATCAAATTCATAACACTATCAGGAAAATGAATGATTTTATTGTCTGTTTCAGTTTTTTTTCAAAAGTATTCTCAGCTTCTTAAAGAAAAAAAGCCTATAAAAGAAGTTACTCACACAGCATTGGAATGTATGAAAGAAAATTTGACCATGGAAGGTAAAAATTAATGTGTCTATAATTTAGTTGTTGACTATACTGTGTAACTATCCCCAATCAATATTTCTGAAAAGATTCACAAGTATATCACACCAAGAGGCTGAGTCTCATGATCATTTCAAGTTTTAGGTATATAAATATATAGGATATGAAATTCATATATGAATATCTTTAATATAGTTGTATAAGAAAATAGTCTTTTAAAAAATGTTTTTATTGATTTCAGAGAGGAAGGGAGAGGGAGATAAAAACATCAATGATGATAGAGAATTATACATTGGCTGCCTCCTGCATGCCCCCTACTGGGGATCAAGCCTGCAACACCAGGCTGGTGTTGTGCCCTGACTGGGAATTGAACCATGACCTCTAGTTCATGGGTCTACACTCAACCACTGAGCTACACTGGCCAGACAAGAAAATAGTCTTAAATGTTTTTGTTTTGTTTTTTAATTTTCAAGTACAGTTTACATTCAATATTATTCTCTATTAGTTTCAGGTGTACAACATAGTGGTGAGACAATCATGTATTTTACAGAGTGTCCCCCCCCACCTCCTGATATTTCAAGTACCTACCTGGCCCCATATTTCTACCAACAGCCCCTTCAAGGCAACGTACACTTTTTCTAGCATGCACCTCAAAACTCTTCTAGCCTCTACCCACCACCTAGTTTTAAAGCAAAATGTATGCTAAGGTATTAGAAGAACCTACGAGAGATTATTTTGCAGGGGATGGGGCGGTCTGGAAACACTGGAAAATTTTTCTACATAAATTAATAATAATTGCTTCTTCAGTTTATACCATTTCAGTTTACAAAAGATTTCATAAGAACACTACTTTTGGATAGTGGGAAAAACCTGTATTACAAACTGGGTGGTTTAAACGACAGACATTTATTTTTTTGCAGTTCTAGAGCCTGGGACTCTAAGGTCACTAGCAGTGTTAGTTTCTGTTGAGGCCTCTCTCTCTGGTTTACAGATGGCCACCTTCTCTGTGCATATAGAGATAGAACTTCAGAGAGACAGAGAGAGAGAGAGAGAGAGAGAGAGAGAGAGAGAGAGAGAGAGAGAGAGAGAGAGAGAAAGAGAGAGAGAGAGAAACTGATTATATATATATATATCTGGTATCTCCTCTTCTTATAAAAACACTAGTTCTATTGGATTAGGATTTCGCCATTTGACCTTATTTAATATTAATTATCTTCTTAAAGCCCCGACTACATTGGAGATTAGGGCTTCAACATATGAATTTTTGGGGAACACAATTTAGTCCATAACATTCTACCCCAAATTCATATCCTTCTTGCATAAGAAATATATTCACTCTGTCCCAACAGGCCCCAACATTTTAACGCATCCAGTATCAATTCAAAGTCCAAAGTCTCATTTGAGTGTTATCTAAATCAGGTATAGGTAAGACTCAAAGTATGATTCATCCCGAGACAAGATTCCTCTCCAATTGTGAACCTATAAAACCAGATGAGTTATGTGCTTCCAGAATTCAGTGGGACAGCCATAGCATAGACATTCCCTTTCCAAAATGGAGAAATCAGAAAGAAGAGAGGATAAATGTGTTTCAAGCAAGTTCAAAACCGAGCAAGAAAAAGGGCCATTGTATCTTTTTAAAAGTTTATTTTTCATTACAGTTTACATTAAACATTATTTTGTATTAGCTTTATGTGTATAGCATAGTGGTTAGACAATCATATACTTTACAAAGCGTTCCCCCTGGTATTTCAAGTACCCACCTGGCACCATACATAGTTATTACAAAATTGTTGACTATATTTCCTTTGCTGTACTTTACATCCACGGGACTATGTTATAACTTCCCATTTGTATTTCTGTTTTTTTCCATTTGTATTTCTTAATCCCTTTACCTATTTCACTGTCCCGCTCCCCAGTGTTTTGTTTAGAGTCCACACATATAAGTGATATCATATATACACCACTATGTTCATTACAGCGTTGTTTACAATAGCCAAGGTGTAAAAGCAATCCATATGCCCATCAACAGACAAGTGGATAAAAACGTTGGGGTTCATGTATAGAATAGAATTGTATACTTGGCCCTAAAAAATAATGAAATCTTACCATTTTCGACAGCATGGATGGACCTAGAGATAGTTATGTTAAGTGAAATAAGCCAGACAGAGAAAGACAAATATCATTGTATCTTAAGGTTGGAGAATAATCTTCTTTGGCTTGATGCTTGGGCCAACTTGAATGACAGTGTCACCCGCATGGTCCTACATGGTGGCTCTGTCCTGTGGATTGTGGGGATGCCTTGCCCTTGAGGTACTGGGCAGTTGTATTCTGGCCCACTGAAACCAAGAAGATTGGGCCACTGAAGCCGAGAAGATTGCCCCACTTTCCGAAACCAAGGAGGAAATTGCCTTGCTCCCTTGGCCTGTGGGTTGGAGTAGCAAGCCTGATGATCTCTGAATCATCCTTGGGTCATTCTTCCCTTTTCTTGAAATATAACACATGTTAATTAAAGTCAGTAGCTCTATTGTCTCATGCTGCAGAACAGCAGAAGTCCAATAGCTTTATTCATTCTGTCCCATTTTCTCAGTTCCCATTAGTCCCAGCTGGCAATATATGTATTTTTTCTGGTTTCAGTGCATTCTTTCTTTTTATAAAAACAGCAACACCTTTATTGTTTAAAGAATTACATTTGTCTTCTTTTTCCTCCATTGACCTTTCCTCCGCTGTTCCCACCTCCCAGCACATGCCCTCACCCCCGTACTGTCTGTGTCCAAGGGTTATGCTTATATACATGCATAGAAATCCTTTGGTTGATCTTTTAGCACCTCCCTCCCACCTTCCCTCTGAGGTTGGT